AGAGCGAGTGCGAAACGCTGTAGAAAGACACGGCAGTGTGAAAGTGAACACAGCGTTCAACGGCGACTTCGTGACGAAGGATAAACGTTGCTACTAAGAGTATGATTACAAAGAACATGAGATATATCGATGCACCGATATACGCGAGTGGTACGATCTGCACTTCGTCGAGCCTATTATGACATCGCTCGAAGAGTTCCAGGAACGCGACAGCGGGTGGGCGCTGTCACGAATCCTTATCTTGGCTGTTAACTTGAACAAACTAAATCCCATGCGCGCGGGATGTCACTTCGAGGTACCGCGAGAAATTATGCTGAAGAAAGCGATGGTCAGTGTGAAATCCAAGGATAATGCGTGCTTCGCGTGGTCAGTGGTCGCCGCTGTATACCCGGCTAAATGTAATGTGGATAGAAAATTGCCGTACCCGCATTACACTGCAGTGTTAAATCTCGCGGGTATAGAATTTCCGATAACGTTCAAAGACATTTCCAGATTTGAACATTTGAACGCTGTGTCGATCAATGTATACGGCATTGAAAATGGGCATGCTCTTATAAAAATTTTTCACCGTTTTTAGACCTTATATGGACCGTTTTTAGACCGTTTTTAGCCCGTTTTTAGCCCGTTCTTGCTCCGTTTCTTGCACTCGCAAGCACTCGTAGTGTATCATGAAGGAACGATAGTGAGTATACACGAGTATGCAATGAGTATTTTTGAGGAGATTGTCCGTTTTTAATACTCGTTTTTCCGCTGATGAACGAGAAACGTATACGCGAGTATTTTTGAGTGAATCGTCCGTTTTCAGCTGATTAGTGAGAACACGTTAATACGACGTTTCTCTTTTACTCGTACATTTTTACTTATCATTTATTAATTACCCGTTTCATAGTCTCGTAAGCATCGTCGCATTCTATATGGTAAATGAGACTGTCCGTGTCGGTGTACATAATTTTGCATTTGTCGTGATACAGCGGTGACATGTATTCGTGGTGAAATTCGTACAAGCATACTTTCGATATGTTGAGTATACACATATCCACATAAATCGGCTTGTCGAACTTCACCTCGAGTTTGCGCATTTCGATGGCGATTAGATTCTCGGTAAAGACGCTGCGGCTGTGGAAATTCGGTTTCGCGATCATTGCCTCCGCGCCGTATCGTCCATCCCATTTTGTTATTAATTTTACGTCAACATGATTGCGTACATTTTCTATGGTCTTGCCAAATACCGCGTTATTCATTAGTATATACAAATTTTTTTTTAAATCGTTTTTCGTACGCGTTCTAAATTGTGTATTAAGTTCAATATAATCGCGGGACCATGGAGATTGAGCGAATTGTAGCACCCGATGGATCTTTGTTACGCGAAGACCGTGACAAGAATATTGCTGCAGGTTGCGGTAGTAGATGACATAACACTGTTTATCGTACAACGTCGCGAGAAGTTTATCTTCGCGCTTGCCGGGCGGCTTATCGCGCGTTGGGCAGAAAGGTAGATCAATGTGTCGGTCGTGCAGATGCTGCGGATACTCGAGATCGATTTCAAGAATATAACCGGTGGGTGAATCCGGAGCGATCGCGCTCACGTCAAAGTTTGCAGAGTCTTCGATCCATCGAGATTTGGCGTACGGCAATGGTTGACACATCGCTCATCCGTACAGATTATTCACATCGTAGTACATAAGGTACGACGACAATTTCGATGGGTCGTACGAACGCATGTACTTGTTATTAGCCTGCGCGTATCTGCTGGAACATTGACTGAGGCCGCCGCGTATGCCGCGCTCGATGAACATGATCATATCAATGTCGGTGAGCAACTCAAATCTTACGCGCGTATGTTTCAGCATGGCGTCCCACATGAAACCTGGCAGTGTATAATAATGCGTGGAATCGAGACCGTAACTCGCGACACAACTATTGCGGGAATTTTCGAAAATGTCGGCTAATAACAAGACATCAGTTTTCAAGTACAGATCGCTGTACTCGAGTGTTCGGAAGGAAAATCGCTGCCATACGTTCACGGCGTGATCGTAATCGTTCTCGGATATGTATCACCCGTCGATGAATTGAAAAATAATTCTCGCGGTAGTAAGCGCGAGTCCTGCAATTTTTCAGTACAGTCAATGTACTCGTGCGGAAAG